TAAGACCCAGTACCTTATGCCTTAACTATCCTAAGAGCCAGTACCTTATGTTTTAACTATCCTAAGAGCCAGTACCTTATGTCTTAGCTATCCTAAGAGCCAGTACCTTATGTCTTAACTATCCTAAGAGCCAGTACCTTATGTCTTAGCTATCCTAAGAGCCAGTACCTTATGTCTTAACTATCCTAAGAGCCAGTACCTTATGTCTTAACTATCCTAAGAGCCAGTACCTTATGTCTTAACTACCCTAAGAGCCAGTACCTTATGTCTTAGCTATCCTAAGAGCCAGTACCTTATGCCTTAACTATCCTAAGAGCCAGTACCTTATGCCTTAACTATCCTAAGAGCCAGTACCTTATGCCTTAACTATCCTAAGAGCCAGTACCTTATGCCTTAACTATCCTATGACTCCTATTGGGTTTTCATATTCTTTCCCAATTTCATCTCTTTTTTTTTCTACTGGAACTTTATTCCCTTTCAAATCTACTACTGCTAAAGGAACAGATGGCTGCAACATATATTCTTAATTAACAGACATGAGTCCTACCTATATACCTTCTTTTCAAATTTTTTTCTTCATTTTCCAATTTTGTGATATTTTTGCTTCACTCCTGATTTGCCTTTGTGGGATAATAGACAATATAACATTATGTGGTGCTATGTCGACAGAAGGGCGAGTCTGGGGTGATCACTGCGTTTCAATGGAAAATCTCAAACAGATCCCTTGATTTAACCAAAGATGCAGAGATGAAAAATAAAAAAGAACAAGATCTTGAAAAAGCTAAAGAAAGCGAGGGACAATTGAGAACAGAGAAGCGAGCAGAAGAGCCAGAAAGGAATATGCAAGATGTGGAGAGAGAGAGGCTGAGCAGAAGTTTGAGAATATCATAGCAGCAAAACCAAAGACGGGACCTAAATTACCTCACAGCCACATCAGAAGAACGACAACAGTAAAATACAAGGTAATTCGACTCATGAAGGAAGGATAGATCACTTGTAATGGCAAAGAATTCTTTGAGGTACTGAACAAACGAGTGAAAGACGTATTCTCAGTGGAAACAGGGAATGTCAGACGCCTAGAGCAATAAGTACACCGGCGGGTATTGGAAAACTTAAGTATACTCAACAGGGTAATAAATAAAAACATTTAAGAAAGCTGAATATATCAATGGCAATGAGACCTGAAAAGGTGTCACCATAGTCTGAAAAAGGAAACCACTAGTGAACCACTAGCTAGGATGCACAACTAGTCAATGGACACTGCCCAGGCGCCATAGATGTGGAGAACAGCGAATACAATCCCAATATTTAAGAAAGAAGACAAGAATTATTGAAATAAAGGCCAATATCACAGACATACATGTTATGTATGGTAATGGAGAAGATAATCATGAGAGCGATAAAAACATTTGTAAGGAAATTATTTCGTATACAGTAATCAGCACGGGTTTAGAGGCTGCAAATATTGTTTTACTAACCTGCAGGAGATCTGTGACAAAAGTGAGACAGGAAAGAGTGGGATGGGTAACTTACATATTCTCGGACGGTGCGAAGGCATTTGATGCTGTACCTCACATGAGACTAGGGCAAAAACTTGAGATATAGACATTAATATGAAGGAATGTAGTCATGTGGATCAAAGAGTAACTTAGTGGAAGGAAAGAGTGATTGCCCGGGGAGAGATGTCAGCACAGGGAAGAATGACAAGCGGGGTTCTGCACTGACTGGTATTAGGACCAGTACTGTGTGGAATATATATGAATGACATGCTAGGTGGGATTGAGGTAGATGCATCTTTGCGATGCTGTAAAACTAAGGAGTAGTATAAAAGCTAATGAGGAGTATAAAAAGTAATAAGGAAATGGTTACAAATATATCCGGACAATTTGCAAGATTAGTTAGATAAGCGATTATTTTAATGCAACCCCAGCAAATGTACTGTTATGAAGAGTGAAGACTTGGTAAGAAGACCAGACACAATTGAGAATTGCAGGACAGATACTTCAGACTTCATCTGTGAAATCATGTACAGTAAATTTCAGTTTAGTGTCAGAATAGTACCTATTGCCACTTTTAACCTCGAAATAATATAGCTTTATTTTCCCCTGCCCCTTGAGTGGCTCCTGATCCAAGGAACCGGAATTACCTTCCCCTGGCTTTAATCGAATTTGAATGCGTCCCGTTTCACAGGCGCTCTATAACCCCCTAAGAATTTACCGTTTTCTTCTGATTAAAATATTATAATCCTGAACTGTACCAGTCTACAATGGCTGATGCATCAAATGAAGTGGATGGAAAGTGTCAAAAGTTTAGGCCGTGTATTCACAAATGTTGAATTCTGCGCAGTAACCGGAAAATACATCTAATGGTCTTGATATTAGGTTGTGTTAGTTATCATGTGCCTATTTTATTATTCAAACTGGCTTTCGTAAAATATCCGGAGAATGTCCCTTCTCATTAGAAATAATTCAGTGTTTGATTATTTGTTTATCCTTGATTAAATAAGTTTATTATTCTATAATATATCTATAACAACTCTGTGCCCCCAAGACCATTCTTGAACATTTCTATGTTATGTATACTAAGCTTACAAAAAGCTTACTTTCTTATAAGCTGGTCAGTCTCACCTAGAAAAAGTCTGGACTGACTTTAAAACTACGCAGATCCCAGTTCACATTTTTGGACGAAATTGGAAAAAATAAAATGCTGCCGCATATGATTGGCTTTAAGTTTTTTTTATGATCATAACTTGATAAAACAACTTCTGAGCAACTTCAAGCTTAATATATTTGTTTATTTTAGGATACTGGTCTCTCTGAAAGACTTGAATCAGATTTGGACCGAATATATTTTAATCAACAATTTTACTGAAGAAATTTAGATATTAATTTCCATATGACTCTTGGATGTCGCTTCTGATTATCTTCAAATCTTCAACATTAATTCACAAATAACCTCCACACAAGACCGAAACTTATGACAACGTTTCGGTCCGACTTGCAGCAAAAACAAGTGCCTATTTAATGGTCCAAGTCAGATCGAAACGTCGTCGGTTTTTTTGTATAGTTCTAGTCACAGTATTGTGACTTTATTCTTCAACACTAATATTTATTATTGATATATGCTTCACTTTACACTGTTATCATCACGTATAATGGAGATGTTAGTTAATTTTTTTAGTTTTAATTTTGCTAAAGCTTTAAATTAATAGTGATTATGTTTAATGTAACTGGGAAATTTTCAGGCTTTTTCTTTCGTAATTGATTTCTGGTTATGCCATCAAATTGCTAAATATGGAGAGATATTAAAAAGTTTTTTTTTTTTTCCAAATTTTAAGTCTCACAGTAGTGCCTGTAATTAGTAATGACATTGTTATATCAAAAATAATAAAAAAAATCTGTTTGGGTAACAGGAAAAATTTTGGTATCGTCCTGTTCCTAATAAGGATTATATTAGCATGTCTCACAGGTTACAAAGTATAAACATTAGTATGTATTACGCCACCGCTAAGTGACTTTAGTTATCACCTAGCCTAGCACATATGATGTGTGTAATATTTGCCTCCGTGTGAGAAGTTCTCCCTAGCGAGGCCTGTTAATACCGTCCACCAAGACTCCTAACATCTCTGTCTCACAAGTGGCTTCTGCAACACTTTCATGAGTAAAACTGTAGTAAATATCAATTACAAATTACCTGATCGTTGGTCATGGGTACACTTATTAGTCCTAAGTTAACTATCCCTGAATTTCCCCATGCAGTATTGTGGCCACGTGACTTGGGGGTTAAATACAGAAGTGTCACCAACAGATCTGGTGCAGAGACTCGTATCCGTGATTCGTTGTAAGGCCTCCGAAGTACGTTGTTAACTGCCAGGTAACGTTGGGAAACCGTGTGGGACTCAACAGTTAAAAACTTGTAAGGAGGTGCTCTCAGCGCGCGCATTGTCCAAAAGATGGCTACCAGCATCCTCCTCCACTCTAATTAATAACATCTTTATTATGTACAAGGTATACAGGTCTAGCTGACATCAATGACATACTACAATATAGAAAGCCCCTTGTTATGCTGAGTATTTCGAGCAAATTAGGTCAGTTTGGTCCCAGGATGCGATCCACACCAGTCGACTAACACCCAGGTACCCATTTGACTGATGGGTGAACATAGACAACCGATCTAAAGAAATATGTCCGATGTTTCCACCTCTTCGCCGGGAATCGAACCCGGACTCTCACCGTGTGAAGCGAGAACTTTTACCACCAGGCCACATGGCTAGATGACTCTATATTTCACATTTTCCTTGCTCATTTCTAATTTAAACATATTAGAGCCTATAACTACATATTTTAATTCTATTATTACTTCTAACACTCTAATTCTACCTAAAACTTGTTATCTATCAAATTAGTGCAAACAGTTCAATAATAATGTGCTGGCTCAAGATTTCGCTACTTGCTGTGTTGTTGTGGGCACCAAAACATTTATGGTTTTATTTACAATGGTTCCAGTGGGATTTATTTGAGCTTAATAAATTCCTATAACTATCTATTACTGTAAATCTAATATAGCCTAATACTGTATATCAATGGTATTAAAAGACAGAGAAATATGTTAATAAAATACAGTATGCAAGTTCAAGCATTTTACTGAGATGATGTTTGATCCACCTTGGACTATATTAAACAATATGGAGCAGTAATGAAATCGGTAAACTGACTCGCCTAATTTTAGACTTCGAAGTTTCCACTGAGCCGAGCATATTGTAGGTTACATCACTCTCCTGTCTCTACAACACTTGTCTCTAAATTATATATTTGCTTTCTCCCCATCTCTTTGAGAATGGATAAAGCCCTACATAGACTAAATGTCTTCTCAATAAAATGCCCTAAACTACATAGTCTTAACAACATTGCCTGATCCAATCCTTTAAGCAGTATTTTCAGGTCCTCTTGGAGAGAGGTGTTGGATCCTCATTTATTCATTGTGTTAATTGTTTGTTGTAGGTGGGTGAGCTGGAGGTAGTGACGGTGGCCTCTTTAACTCCCCTACCATTATCAAGACACTGACCCGTCACTGCCGATGTTATATTATCAAGACACTGACCCGTCACTGCCGATGTTACATTGTACTCAGCAGAAACGAGCCTATTGACCACATTTATATTCTATAATTCTTAATCAAATGTTTGTTTCTTATTATCTTATGTTGGTGCATTAATTTCTGCCTTGTTTGAATCTGTGACGACTTGTTTGGTTAAGCACTTTCTGTATTAGTCCAAATTTGTTCTTTTTTTATCATGGCTTTCCAGCGCCTTCCATTAAATAAATTCGTATTGATTATTCTGTCTTTTACTTTTGAAATAAATTGTTTAGTTTTATGTTAAAAATGTTGCACAACTCTTCAGCTATTGAAGGTTTGTTTATATCCGAGTGAGCGCGTCTCTGAATGTTCATAAATATTATGGAATTGCTGCAGCATAAACTACAACTGTAAAATAAGTTAGAGAAATCCTATGTCCTGTCGTATTAAGTAAATGTGCAAATCTCTTATCTTATTTTTGTGTAATTCTCCTCAATGATTTTTCCCAGTTTATCGTCATTATTATTCGGTATTTGTAAGATGTTTACAAGTTAACTGATAAATGCGAATGTTAGTCTGACAGAATTATAGAACTGAACGATGTTACAAGATGAACAGCGTTTACGGTTACTGTGAGAGACTACTGTGAGTAGTGTTGAAGATTACTGTGAGGCACTACCGTGAGTATTGCAGGTTACAGGGAAACACTACAGTGATAGTTGAGAGATACTATGAGAAACTAGTGTGAAAGTAGTGTTGGTTACTCACAGGAGGTACTGTGAGAGAAGTGTTGAATGTTACTGTGACACTACTGTGAGCATAGTGTTAGTTACTTTGAAACACTACTGTGAGCATAGTGTTAGTTACTTTGAAACACTACTGTTAGAGTAGTGTTGTTGAAGGTTACTGTGATACACTACTGTACGAGTAGTTTTGAAGGTTACTGTGACAGACTACAGTGAGTAGTATCCATTACGGAGACACTTTTGTGAGAGTAGTGTTTGAAGGTTACAGTGAGAGACAGAATACTGTGAGCAGTGTTGATTAGTCTGAGACACTACTGTAAGAAGAGTTCTTAATGTTACTGCGAGATATTACTGTAAACATTAGGGAGCATTGAAAAATTACAAATTTTAGAGATGCAAGCTGCACTTTTCAGGGATTATTTATATAATCACAACAAACTTCTGTGGAAAATTTCAGACCATTTCATGGCCATTTACCCTGCAGCATCACGATCAACTTTTCGTCAAATTATACATCATTGAAAGCAGTTAGTTATAAATTATTGATTGTTGGGATAATCAAGTGTACATGGTTTATATAATTTTTGGTTATGAAGATTGAATAATCAAATGTACATGGGTTATATCAATCATCAGTCATTTAATTTTAAACTACTACAAGTTATAAGTGAAGTCTTTTTTGGTGCAGAACTTTGGCATCACTTTCCTGGAAAATATTCTTTGCCTGATATATCCATCTCTTGCCTTCTGTCCAGTCACTTCAGAGCAAGCTTCAGTCATCAGTTTTATCCCTCTGACGAAAGGTTGAGTGTTGTTTGGCCACTTGGGCACCTCCAGTGGAGTCTCAATAATTTTCACAACCTGTTGATCTGATAGAGAAGCAATGAAAGGAGGCTCAGTTTTGAGTTCAGTCTTCCAGTCAATCATTCAATGATAGTTCTTTGCTTGCCGCTTTAGTTTGGGAGTCATTACTTTTCTTGAGTTGACAATAGGAGCCACATTGTCTTTCTCTTCATCTTCACTGTCTTCATCATTCAGTGTAGATTAACAAGTCCTCCTCAACAGCATCAGCAGAATCTTTTCCATCCTCATCAGAGCTCTCAGTACTTTCTTCTGTCTGCTGATTCTCTTCTCTATTTTTTTTTATCATTGAGACAGCTTGAACTGATAACATCGACTCAAGGTTGAGGGACTGATTACCTCAAACTCCTCATGTTCTTCACCTTTCTCCTTTGTATGGACTGATGAAGCCACTGTGTGGAGAAAAGTTTCCTCATTAAAGATACCCAAGTGTTGCACATGTGTAATTTATCGACTAAAGAAGTATTTCTTATCTCTTAGTCTCTAGTTACTCACTCTTCTCCCTGTTTCTCGCCTTTCAAAGAGTCCGTCCTTGTTTGCCCTTTATAATAATGTAATAATAATAATAATAATAATAATAATAATAATAATAATAATAACACTAATAATATTTATTTTTACAAATATATGATACAATTTATACAGCCCATAGCTGACAATCACATACTGTACTATATAGAAAACCCCTGGTTTTTACAATTTTTGTCTAACGCTGTGTACGGCTTTGATCTATTTCACTAGCACAGACTGGTACCAAAGCCCATACTGGAGTATGCAGCACCAGTATGGAAACCCACACCTGGTTAAGCACGTCAAGAAATTAGAGAAAGTGCAAAGGTTTACAACAAGATTAGTCCCAGAGCTAAGGATTATGCCCTACGAGGAGAGGTTACGGGAAATCAATCTGACAACACAGGAGAGATGGGGTGGGGGGGGATGATAACGACGTATAAAATACTGAACGGAATTGAGAAGGTCACTAGGGACAGAAAGAATGACGCATCCAGCCAAGCTTGACTGGGTGCGTCATTCTTGAGAACCGTGTGGTGCCGTGGACTAGAGTGTCATCCATCTTTCGCTCACCATGAGGAGGGCCAAAGCAGCATGGGTTCGACTCCCTGGCTAGTCGCAGTGTTGTTATTGATCAATACCACTCGTTCGTGGGTACAATGATATAAAATACTGCTCGTTGGGCCAGTACACCAAACAGGGAGTAGAATGAAATTAGGTCAGAGGCACCCACACCACCTTATGTTCTCTGATGACGGGTACTATACATAATAATATAAAATAATAATAATAATAATAATAATATAATAATGCTGATACCGTTACTAATAAAGACACAGACAGTAATATTTCCATTACATTTGTTATGAGCTGTAATAAAGTCAGTAACTGTACAACTCTATTACGTTCACTAATTAATTTTATTAAAGCTATTAAATTTTCGGAATGTGGTGGATATATATATATATATATATATATATATATATATATATATTTATATATATATATATATATATATATATATATATCAGAATTGCGAAGCCGAATATACACAACACTGAACTCGGCTAAGAGACGACTCGACCTTAGGACAAGGTACGCATGCTTACATCTACCCACAGGCATACTTGGCGTGTAGCTTGGCTACACGTTGATCAAGGCACGCTACTTTCCAGGGTAAGGTTACAGTGTAAGCTTGGTCAAGTTCGCATCACGCCAAGTATTGTCCAGTGTGGTAGATTGGTTAAAGCACTGCGTACTTGCTAAGGTTCCTAGTTGATCTCGTTCAAGCCATAGATCAGTGTTTGTGATATTCGCTGCCTCGCGAATTCTTGCATTGTTCAAACTTAAGCTACCTGATGCATGCGGGTTGAATGAAGCTAAGCTCTCGAAACTGCTGCTTGGGTCAAAGGTGCGCAAGCTACACGCCAAGGTATTGTTCAGTGTGGGTAGATTGGTAAAGCACTGCGTACCTTGTCCTAAGGTTCGTAGGTTCGAGTCTCCTTCAGCCAGAGATCAGTGTTCTATATATATATATATATATATATAATATATATATATATATATATATATATATATATATATATATATATTTCTCATAGACATTATCCCTAAGTATCATTAGTACATATATACTGAGATAAATTTCTCGGTACGTATAGCACGGTTTGATTTACTAGGCTTAAAGCCTATCTACTACACGAGGGTCATTAAGGCTGCATGCTGCCTGTACACTACCAGTCAAGAATATTTTTTAATCCCTAAAACAGGGATTAAAGTAATCTTTCAGCATATATAAACAATGAGAGATATATACCTTCCGGTGAATATACGCCGAGTTTATACCTAGCTAGTAAATGGTGTTTTCTTTCATGCAGAAGACGCCACTGTGCGCTTGTCAGCTAATTGAATCCTGACCTTTATCCTGGAGCTCTCAGTGTATCTAACAATTCTCGGTCCATTTCACCTCTGTCTAATATTAATTCAATTTCTCCTTTGTGTCGTAAACGAATTCAGTTTTAATAAAACACGATTTATTTCACATGACATTAAAGCAAACTCTTGAGGCAATGAAGTCAGTTCTGAGGTATTCTGACAGTCTCAAACTTCTGCAACAGACATACATGTCTGGTTGAAAGTTGAGAATTGTCTCCGCTGTCAGAAGATATAATACTTATTAGTAAATTCAGCTCTTTAAAAGTATTAGTGGCTCTGGTTGAGAGTAATGCTCTCACATCCGAAGAAGCTGAATTCTACACTTCGTATATTTCAGTACCTAGGTAAGCTCTGTTTTTCGTGAGAGTACTGTTCGTACATCTAGGGAAACTCTGCCTTTATCTAGAGCGCTACTCTTACATCTAGGAAAGGTGTATGTACCTTTGTCTGAAGTACTGCTCACTCTCCTCTTGGGAAGTCCACCGGTCCTTCACAGTAATGCTTTCCCCCTCTGCGGAAGCTCCCTTCTACCCTTCAAAATATTTCGAGAAAGCAACTAGGGCAGAGTCGGTTTAAAAGTCTGTAAGGTGAAAGAGTGAAGTAAGAGTCACCCTGGACTCTGCCAATGCGAGCTTTCTCAAACTGAAGCTCTCCCAAACTGCAGTTCACACTGCAATGGTTGACCTGTAAGCTTCAATAAACTTAAATAAAACTTAATATTGAAATCATATTTAATGACTGCAAACATGCCAGCAGCTGCGACTGCTGTGTTTGCAGCTCAACCTTACCCTCCAACCCTCAATTAGTGTTTATGAATATACGTATATATATATATATATATATATATATATATATATATATATTAATATATATATATAATATATTATATATAATATATATATATATAATATTATTCCTGAAGGGTACAGACTGCATTCTCTGCATGGTACAGGTCTACACGGTACAGCAAACCCTTGATATCTGTGCAGTTGTACAACCGTCGTCCGCTAAACTCTACGTTGAATGCTCACCACATTTAACTATGTCCATCGATAAACTCGACGACCATCAACCAATAGATTCAGTGACATCGTACGATTTAGATCAACTATGCGCATCGGTAAACAAGTGGAAAAACTCGGTCAAATGACCTAAAGCTCCAGTGGCGGGTCATCATGTACCCAAGACCCGCGTCATGAAATACTTGTACTGTTTCCTGACTAACCTTACGAAACCTAACCTCTATGCACATGGGCCACCACGCCTCCAAGACGGTATACTCAGATCTCATGGACAGTATAATGAGCACATAAAGCTCCGCTGAGGAATATAACCACGGTATAAAGTTTACTTGATGGAGACAGACCAACAACTGAGACCTCAGCAAGTTTAAAAACATGCATTATTTAATAACAAAAAAATGAAAAAAGAAATATTCGTCATTTTTCATTTAATAGCTGTCTGGCCAGAAGTGCGCAGACATCACATATAAATACCCTTCTGAACATTCCCACTCCTCTCACCTTAGGCTAGCACTACTGACGCATCCCAGATCTGTTGACACTACTGAAGTCTCATAGCTCGGTTGACACTACTGAAGTCTCACAGCTCGGTTGACACTACTGAATCCTACTCAGGCCGCCACTACTATTGAAGTCTCCTACCTCAGGACAATGCTTCTGAAGACTCCCAGCTTATGCTAACAACTGTTGAAGTCTCTCACCAGATGATACTTGGAAACACAGCTTTTGCTCCTGTGTAAATATCACAGTGAACAGGGTAGCAGCACATTGAGGATGTATCAAATTTTATATTATTGAAAATATATACTTCAGAGGGTTAAGTCTGGCACCTCTTATAGGATAATCACCATCATTGACTTGAAACATGTCATCGTGTCTCCTTAGAACTTAATAATGTTTCCACGCTATACACAATATACACATACAAAGTATATTTAAACAGGAAGTTAGTTGAAGATTGAGACTCTTATGCAACATATGGGAATCTTTATTCTGAATAAAGATTTATCCTGAATAAAGATTCCCATATGTTGCATAAGTGTCTCAATCTTCAACTTGTCGGTTTTTCAAACTATTCATCACAGGAAGTTAGTTAAATTTTTCTGAATTTTGTAAAGTATATTTTAACCGAGTATTCATTTTTTTCTTTTATAATCCAACATACTTTTCTTTCAATAACATTCTACAGCTCATCTTTATTATAACCATTTCACAATAAATTAAACGGAATATCCTCGTAAAAAACAAAAATAAAACAATTTTTAAAAATAAAAATTAAAATACACAATATCATCTGAAAATAATAATTAAAATCATCATAAACACGAACTAATAACATCCTTTATATACAGGAATATAAAAAATTACCATCTTTGAAAAGTGTATTGACGTCACTTCTTTCCAGAGTCATCGACACCATGCCCAGCCCTTCCAGGGTAGGGTAGGTGCCTGAGCCAGAGCTTGCAGCTCACAAGACTGTCATTCCCATTAGCCCCCTTGGGGCGGGGATGGCAGACCAGAAAGGCCTAGCTTGTGGCTAGACCTGGGGACAGTTGGTTCCAAAGATGAGGTACAAGTGCCTCCTCCCATGGAAGACTTAGGTCTCAGACACTCCCAAGACAGGGAGCCTAGGCCGGGCCACCACTTGGAAAAGGCCCGGGCCGGGAGAATACCGGCGAATCTTTAATAATAATAATAATAAATTTCCAGAGTCTTACAAACCTGACAGTTTCCAGTACAGTCAGTGACTGGTCTGAGACTTCTTTATTGTAGCCTTGACGACTGTCATGAGAGCAGAGGGTCGGCGTCATGCCTGCTACCTGCCCGGGTGACATTCCCAAAACATTAAAAAAAATAATGAGATTTGCTGAAAATGAGTCAGATCTGACTTATGTTTTTAATTCGATAATTTAAAAAAAAAAAATAAATATGATATAATATGCTTCTTGTTTGCCAATTATTATCATATTTTTTAACTCAAAAATATAATAATAAAAGTTATGCATAAAAAAGTTAAAAGAAAACGAATAATTCTCTGGGTTATCACAGAAAACGTCAACGAATTGAGGGTAACTGATTAAATTTGAAACTTCAGTTACTAATCAAATCAAAAGTTTATTTTCTATAAAGATTACAATGTGGGGTTTACATATTATAAAATATTGAGTTACCAATAACATAATGGTTGTAGAAATGTTTGTATAAAGACGGTTTTCACCCTCTGTTGAAACCTGTCTGTAATGAAACCATAGGCAGGTATGTTGCTAGGACGCTGTTAATGTGTAAGTTAAGTTTAGAGGCGTGGCCAGGAACTGAGATTCGAACCCATCAACCACAAACAAGTTATTACAAATAGGTGAGTGCATCTACCAGCTAATCTGAACAACAATATCAGGCGGAAGATGAAAGTGTTGTCAGTCATATAATGAAGGATTTTTAACAGAAGTGAGTTTAATAATGTCCATTGCGGTTATTTCGTTAACAGCTTTAATAACAATGATTAACCATACTTAATTATTTACTTCGTTACTGTCTACCTCCTACCAGTTGTGGTCAATTCTGAGAATTGGCAGCGGTCTCTCTTCACACACTGTGTCCGTGGGTCAATTCTCAACATGGGTGGAAATGTTGGACATGTTTCCTTACACCTGCTGTCCCTGTTCGCCTAGTAGTAAGTAGGTACATGGGTGTTAGTTGGCTGGTGTGGGTTGCATCCTGGAGGACAAGACTGAAGGATTACAATGGAAATAAGACTTTCTTGGGATATCCTGAGTGGCTAACCCACCGAGTTAAAAATCCAAACAAATCTTAAATCAACACAATCATAATAATAGTAATAACAATGAACAATAATAACAATAAAATAATTATAATATAAGTGACCCCAAGGATAAGGAACATTCACCATTATTCATTCAATAGTCGTCTTGCCAGAAGTACGCAGATATGACAATTAAATACACCTCCAAACATACCCACTCCTCTAACCTCAGGTTGGCACTGCTGAAGCCTCCCAGCTCAGCTGACATTAATAAATCACACTCAGGGTGGACACTACTAAAGTCTCCCAGCTCAGATGACTGGGAAACAGCTTCTGCTCCTGTGTAACTATCACAGTGAACAGGGTAGCAGCTCATTAAGGATGTATCAAATTTTATATAATTGAAAATGTATACCCCAAAGGGGTTATGTCTGGTCCCCAATGAAAATAAATCACTGACTTTTTTGGGTTATCCTAGGATGTGACCCACTCCTGTCCACTAACACCCAGGATGTGACCCACACCAGTCCACTAACACCCAGATGTGACCCACACAAGTCTCTAACATCCAGGATGCGACCCACACCAGTCCAATAACACCCAAGATGCTACCCACACCAGTCCACTAACATCCAGGATGCCACCCACACCAGTCCACTAACATCCAGGATGCCACCCACACCAGTCCACTAACACACAGGACGAGGACGAGGCATAACTACAGAGGGATCTGGACAGACTGGAGGCCTGGTCCAGCAACTGGCTCCTGGAGTTCAACCCCACGAAGTGCAAAGTCATGAAGATTGGGGATGGGCAAAGAAGACCACAGACGGAGTACAGTCTAGGGGGCCAGAGCCTACAAACCTCACTCAAGGAAAAGGATTCTTGTGTGTGTATAACACGGGGCACATCTCCTGAGGCACACATCAACCAAATAACTGCTGCAGCATACGGGCGCCTAGCAAGCCTAAGAACAGCATTAAGACATCTAAATAAGGACTCATTCAGGATCTTGTACACTGTGTACGTTAGGCCCATATTGGAATATGCAGCGCCAGTTTGGAACCCTCACCTACCCAAGCATGTAAGGGAAGTAGAGCAAATGTAAAGGTTTGCAACAAGACTAGTCTCGGAGCTAAGATGTGGGAATTAAGAGCTATTGGTCTTTTGTTCTTAGCTAATGCTTTGCTACCATCTTTGTGGAGTGGAGCTATATCCGTTGTTTTTAGTGACTGGAATTTCACCTGTCTAAGCTTCTCCATAGAATACTTAGGGCACACGAAAGGGGTTTCTTGTAGTTCTTAATGAACACGAGTCTGGGCCTGGAGTTGAGTGTATGGGCATATTGTCAATGGCTTTCTTTAAGTCTATCGGAGTTAGGGTAATGTCGGAAATATGGTATACATTGATGGAGTGTTTTAGGCACATTCATGAAAAAATCAATTTGGATTGTCGACCTTTAGACTGATTAGTGATTCGCTAAACACAGAGTCATATTGAGATTTCAGTATCTCACTCATTTCTTTGTCATCATCTGTGTAAGTCCCATCTTGTCTGAGAAAGGGCCCGATACTACATGTGGTATTTGCCTTGTTTTTGGCATATGAAAAAAAATATTTTGAATTTCTTTCAATTTCACTAATCGCTTTTAGCTCCTCCTGACTCTCCTGGGTCCTGTAAGAGTCCTTTAACTTAAGTTCGATACATACAAGTAATCTGAGCTCATCTATCTTATTTCTAAGACTCCTACTATTACTATAGTAAACCTTAATCGAGTTGGCTAATGCAACCACTCCAGCCCATGAGAGATGTACCCCATCCCCATATGACGTTTGCCATGAAATTTGTCCCAGTTATCAGTGAATGGGATTACAAATTTTTTGCAGTACCTGTCTAGCCAGCAATTTACACCAATTGCCCTAGATATCCATTCATTGCCCACTACTCTTCTAGGCAAGATGCTACATATGATTGATACCCCTCCCTTAGACCTAATTACATCTCTGGCTGACTTGCACCATCATTTCCATCAGCACTAAGTTAGATGATAATCTTGTTCCCATTACCTGACATATTATTATCCAACCTGTTGATTATGTCATCAACACCAGCTCCTGGGAAGCACACTCACTTTTTTCCCTTCATCAGTTGTATGATTCACATAGTTTTTCATAATAACATAATAAATAATAATATATTTATTTACTACAAGTATATGTACATGGTATACAAGGCTAGCTGACATCAGTGACATATTACTGTATAGAAAACCGCTTGTTATGCAGAGCATTTCGGGCAAATTAGGTCAGTTTTGTTCCAGGATGCGACTAACACCCAGGAACCCATTTTACTGATAGGTGAACAAAGACAACTGGTGTAAAGAAACACGCCCAATGTTTCTACTCTTGCTGGGAATCGAACCGAGACCATCGACGTGTGAAGCGAGAGCTTTAGTCACCAGGCCACGGGGTAGAAACATTGGGCGTGTTTCTTTACACCTGATGTCTATGTTCACCCATCAGTAAATGGGTACCTGGGTGTTAGTCCACTGGTGTGTGTGGCATCCTGGGACACTGACCTAATTTGCCCGAAATGCTCAGCATAACAAGTGCCTTCTATATAGTAGTATGTCATTATCATCTAGGCTTGTATACCATGTACATGTACTTGTAGTAAATAAAGATATTATTATTATTAAATAGCATTACAAATGGATCACAGAGACTCGTATGTACGATTCGTTGGGAGGTCTCTGAAGTACGTTGTTGACTGCCGGGTTACAGTGGGGAACCATGAGGGACTTAAGGACCCATGCCGTCTGTACTTCCCTACGTTACTTCCCTATGTTCCTTCTAAATAATTCACTGGAACACCGCTAGGTGTCACTGCTTATCTAATATTCCTACTCGTTTCTACTAGTGTGAACATATATTAAAGCCTAAAAGCACATTTTTTTTAAATTCAATTATCAATTCCTAATACTAATTCTACCTAAATATGTAATCTATCATAAATTAGTGTAAAACTATGAATAATTATGTGTGACTCATGACTTCCGCTACAAGCTTTGTCGGTGTGGATTACAAAAGCCTCTACTGCTTGTTACAATGGTCCTGTGGGATACATGAACTCAATAATTTCCCACAACTACTCACCTCTGACATTACATTAAGACTACAAATATTTTAAGGTAAGAAATGAATGTACTGTGTATGTATTTTACTTTTTATTGTTTTTATTACCTAGTTCTATTGTTAGCTTAATATATCTTAGTGTCAACTTATCTGGAATTTATAAGTGGAAAAAAAATTGCGTTCTGCTTTACAGCGATTTCTGCTTTAAGGCGGTAGCCTGGAACTTAACCTGCCGTATAAGTGAGGCCCTACTGTACATTAGACAATTTAAAATCTTGTAGCATGGGTAGAAAATCAGCTGTGTTTGACAGATCCTTGACTACCTACATCATCATAAAAAGGTCAGGTGTTTTAAGGTGACCGCGAGGTGTAGTGTCTTCATTACATGTCTTCCTGTTGATCATTTATTTTTACAGTTCCTTGATAATGTGAGAAATCATATATATATATATATATATATATATATATATATATATATATATATAGTGTGTGTGTGTGTGTGTGTGTGTGTGTGTGTGTGTGTGTGTGGTGTGTGTGTGTGTGTGTGTGTGTGTGTGTGTGTGTGTGTGTGTGTGCGCTCGCGCTCGCGTGCGTAATACGATCACGGTAAGCAGGTGATATAATATGCAGAATAACTACTTGCATTTAAAACTCATTATTGAATAAATATAACACTGTAATTATAAGAAAATCTTCAAACTACGTTACATAATTTGGAGCTGCAGTTACGCGAGACCACATTTCATTGATTTACAGAACTAACCTTTATGTTAGCAAAGATTTGCCCAATAAATGTGAGTTATCAAGTATGATATTGGTACTGTCTGCAGAAACTTTGACACTTTGCTCCTCTTTGTGTTCTAGTTACTTTATTATACTTGATGGTTCAGGTGAGAAGCTTGGCCCAGTAGATGCAGTTAAAGACAAACACCACAAAGGGAACAATCACCTGACGTACCACACGCAGAAGAATCTCAGCCGAGATTCTGATGCCTTGTTTTCGACGTAGAGGACCAATACGAACGACAGCCTCAGTCTCTAACCCCTCTACTATGACATGTACCATGATGATAACGAAGAGAAGAAGCGTGCAGAAGAAGAACCAGACATCAATCATCTTGACATAGGCAGTTTGTGGAAGCGATGACGATGTCTGGTTGAAGAAAGTGTACAACACCAGCAGGGTCGTCAAACTCACACCAAGACGAACCTGTCAGAAAGTTAGTTAAATATATTAGGTAGGTGAAGGGTAGGGAACTCCATATTTAGTGTCAAGCAGTGTACATACCCACATCTTTCACGATGTGCAAGGGGAAACAAATAATGCTGTGTTTATTATAAGACTGAACAATATAAATTGTGTAAGCCCGTGTGCATCAATACACATCAAGTGTAGTGACTGCCCGCACCTGCCCCCACCCCACTCCTTAATCCTCTCCAGATTTACACCCTATACTGTGGAGAGCAGTTTTCCCTTCTTGCCCCCTCAAGCCGTACCAGGCCACCATGGTGCGGAATGGTGACCCCTCCCACAACCTTGCTCCACCCAACATGTTGAACCCTTCTCCTATAGTTTAGCCAGATAGATGGATGCTAATCAGGAGGAAGCTAGCAGCCAAGGAAATGATATGACTGGCAATGCTAGGACAGGGAAGTGTCTATCATGTTTACAGATTCGTTGTCGTCAACACTAATGGTTTCCTCTGCCGACATGGCAGCTGCCCAGGTTCAGGTGTCCTCCCGTGGAAAGTGATGACCCACAGCCACTTCAAGCACCTGACTTCATCTACTCAGATAATATCTTAGAAGCAATTAAAACTTCTATCAGAACCCTCGCACATACTTCCAAAGCAGCCCATCAACAAGAAGCTGGGAAACTCTCAGACTTCTTGAAAAACAGTAAACGATGGTTTCGCTATCCTAAATGCTCCACCAACCAACAAACACTGCAGGACTTGCTATTTTTTGGCGATGTCTGCTTAGCTATGCCATAAAAAAGGGGCAAGAGACTAGCCTTAACGATCATTAAATCCAGGTAAGATAATTGAAGAGGGAAATACAGTGGGGAAAATCAGATAATCACCAGTGATGATACAGTTGCCTCCAGGGATGTTGACGCTGCTCAAGGATTTAGAGAAAAGCACTCTGCGAGGGAAACAGGGGCACCAGCAGCTGTAACGCTCCTATCCCCGCTGTAGAATCACTGTATAAGACTCAGACATTTACAGAACAATTATGTCATTCCCATCTGGATCTGCTGGGGGTTACACTGAAATAAGATCCCAGCATTTAAAAGAAATGGTTAATCCAGTTTTCGGGGAGATTGTAGACACTGCTTTCGGCGATCACAAGGCTCATTAATAACTCTTGACTCGTCTGATTTCTGAAAAAATTAAACCTTTTTTTTTTTGTGCGTCACTTTATGCCCTTAAAAAAAAGAGGAATTAGGTCAATTTCCATGGGCAACACTTTTCACCACCTCATTTCCAAAGCTGCTGTCCAGAATATTCGCACAGAGGCGGCCATGATACTTTAACTAAATCAACTTGGGTTCGGGATCCTTCAAGGAAGCAAAACAGAAGTTCATGCAACAAGGACATATATCAATCTGCCTGAGAACAATGCAGTGGTAAAATTAGATTTCAAGAATGCATCTAATCTTCTGAAAAGAGATGTGGTATTAACAGCTGTACAAGAACATTTTCCTGGTCTCTTCCATTTTGCTTCAGCTGGATACAGCAAAGAATCAACGCTCCTGTTTGGAGAGCATTAAATCACGTCATCAGAGGGTGTCCAGCAAGTGAATCCTCTCGCGCTATTTCCCTTCTGTATAGTGGTTAGAAAAATCACTGTCAGAGATGACCAGTGAGATAAACATTTAGTTCCTGGAAGATGGCACTGGTGGGTACAATGAAGTCCCTTCTAGATGATCTTACCCAGGTGATGACAAGGGGACAGGAAATGGGTCTCATCCTGAGTCCATCCAAATGTGAAATCATCTCAATCAACAAATGACCGATGCAGTGAGATCAAGACTACCATGTGCATCAGTCATTGCCCTTGGAGCACCTCTGGGAATTGATGCCATTGACTCAATTCTCAGGAAGAAACTAGACGAGTTAAGGAGGTTGGAACAATGAATAGGGAATCTTGACACCCACGATGCCTTGTACATTCTCATCAAGGGCTTGAGCCTGCCCAGGTTAACATCTTTCCTAAGATGTCCGCCCTCAGCATCCTGAGACATATTTTTACGAAAGTACTCAACCTTACTCTAGAAGACGGGCAGTGGGACCAAGTTACACTGTCATACTAAGAGGTATTGGTGTCCGCATGACATCATAGATCCCACTGCTTTCTTTCCTGTCCTCATGTGTTGCATCCAGTGGGCTTGTAGCAGCGATTCTTCCTGAACATCATGGGGACAAGGTTGGAGTTCATGATCAAAAGTTCCTTGGAGCCATGCTCTGGGATAATGCAATGGGTTCTGAAACCAGACCAGCTTACCCCGACAGCTACAGTCACACTCGGATTGCCCAGTAGTGGAGAATATAGCCTCAATAATGCTTCAGTGTCGGGAGAGGATAGAGTCCGCCTCCTAGCAGCAAGAGCTCCCCATGTTACAGACTCCTGTTGGCTGTTCCCAACTCCTCCCTTGGCACACGTCTCGACCCACATACCATCCGCAGTGGTGCTGCCCTTCGCCTTGTTGCCCTTATCTTGCCGAACACAGGTGTATTTACGGCAGTGAATCGGTAGACCGATTCGGGTACCACTGTCTTGTTTATCGTTGATCCGAGGGAAAGATTGCAAGGCATGATGAGGTTAATAACATCAAGAGAAGCCTCACAACAGCCAGATGCCCAGCATAAGGGAGGCACCTTAAGTATGCAGATCTGATAGTGACCCAAAGTATTGAGATAGTATCACTCTTCAAGCCTGGATAGACGGCAATCGTGTGATGTGGGAGTATACATGTGCATCCACATTGACTGATACCTATCTCTAATACACCAGGGAGGAAGAAAGGGCAGCTGCCAGCTTCAGGGAGTCCAAAAGTTTACAAAATACAGTGAACTTGCCCATCATTATATGTTTGTTCCAATAGCCACAGAGACCCTTGGTTCACAGGGAAAGATTGCATCTAAGTTCCTTAAGGAGCTAGGCACAAGACTCATCATGGTAACTAGTTTTCAGTTCCAGTGACTCAGCACTGTGGTTCAGAGGCAAAATACCTGCTGTATTCCGGGAATGTGTCTCATCTCCGAGGAGCTGGATCAGATTTTCCAATTGAAAGCTGCCATGAACATGTTGCAATATGTCCTTGAAATGTATCCCTCAAACCTCATGTACATTATATGCCATCTTTGTACCAACAATGCAGCTTTTAAATCTTGTGTACCATATTATGTAATAAAATATACTTATTGGTAAAAAAATGGAAAGATGGGGTGGAAGGGAAAGTGGGATATTCCAACGGCTTCAGGAAGAAATTCAAATATTTTTCCTCGAAGCCTTTTTATCTACTGCTCCTAGAAGAGAACCTGTGTTATTTTAACATACCTCATGGAAAGCAAGTCAAAATTCACGACGCTCTAACCACCGGATCATACAATCCTTCGAATATCATGTACCATGCAGAACTAGGTATGTTTCTTGATGAGAGGTCATACGTGGCCGTGGTAAGTTCAGAATTAATTTCGTTCTACTCCCGTTTTGAATGTCAGACTTCACGAACAGTCCATATATTAATGCAACCACGAAACAATTAATATTAATGCAGACGAGGGCATAGTCACTGGTAGTGACTATGCCCTCGTCTGCTACACGTCCCTATTCACTGACGCCTATATAAGCGCCAGTCTCCTTGCCAATGCTTCAGAATCTCTACAACCACGGTGCTTCAAACACCACCTCCAAGGCTGAGGGACTGATTACCTCATCTTTTGTATATAGTTCTACTGTTTTCTTATTATGTCCAGGACTGTATTGATAAAGCCACTGGATGGCGAAACGTCTACAGTAAAGATAACCATATGTTACACAAGTGTCTTAACTTTCATCTTGTCGGTATTGTATACCTGTCTTGCACAATAAAACTATTAACATAATGATAATATAATGTAACCCAGGAGGCGGTAGCTGAACCTGACGCCATATTTGCCTTCCACGTGTATCCTCCAGTTTAATGTACGCCTCCAAATGTGTATTGAATTCCAAAGAACATGCTGCATAAGTGTCTCAATCTTCAACATGTCGGTTTTTCAAACCATTCATCACAAAATAGCTAGGTATTGGCCAATCTTAGTTTACCAGCCTACTAGGGAGGCGTTAAGATTTATCACAAACATAATATCTTGGTAAGTCTTATTTTCCTGCATTTATGTTTTGTTTTCAAAATGTAATTGAACCACTGCAATGTATTATATTAATGTACAAGAAATTACTCGAGTTAAGTCATATAGTCACTTAATTATAATAATAAATATACAGTCCACAACCCTATTAAATAAGCTAGGTTTACTGGCTTAAATTTTCTAGCAAAAATTCAAGAATCGTATGTTCATATAAATTTAAGGTCCAGACATGAGTTGGGGAGATGAGACGGTGGTCATTGAAGGAGGAATAATGTGGTGACTCATTATTCCTCAAGTCCTACATGTCTCTGAGACACTTCAATATCGGTAAGTGTAATCGTTTTAGATGCACCAGAGTTCTCCCCAGTTAAGTGTGTGTGAATTGTTAATTCAGGGTTGTACCCGCGAAATTCGTACACAGTTTCTCATAGAAACAATACTTTCGTAAGATAATTTGGAATAACACTAAATGTATTTTAACAAAGACGATTTTTTTTCAATTAACAAGTATGTAAAGTAAAAGGACACAAGTGCAACTAATGTGACATTTTCTTGTGGCAACGTTTCGCTCTCCAGGAGCTTTGTCAAGCCGTTACAAACAATATATGGATACAGAAGGTATATATAGGTTTAGACTGAGGTGTAATACTAGTGGCAGTAGTAATATAAGTTGTAGTAGTAGTAGTAGAAATACAATATGGTAGAACAATTAACTTACACATGAGTAAAAGGATGTAAAAGCTATTACTTGGGTAGCATAAAAATAATAGCTTTTATATCATTTTACTCATGTGCAAGTTAACCCTTTGTTCTACCATATTGTATTTCTACTACTACTACTACTACAACTTTTATCACTACAACTACTACTACTACCACCACCACTAATATTGTGGAAAATACTGTATATTTTCCGAAAATAGTGTTTTTGTATGTAAATTGATGGAATATGTTGTAGTTTATAAAAATGAATTTGTAAATAAATAAAGAACCAGCGAGAATGGTGAGGGTCGCTGGGGAAGGAGTCGCCATTGTTTTGAATTGACCAAGACAAACGTTAGTGGAAATCGGAAGAATTTTCGTCGCTCTAGAGGTTATATTGGGCTTAAAACCTCTCAAATAGGAGTCGAAATTGTTGGAATTGCAGTCCTGCAGAATGTGAGAATTAGGCGACTGGACAGGACTCCGTAATTAGATGGAAACAGGATATTACCACATTTATGTTCAAATTCTGGCCAGTATTTTCTTCATATTTTAGGCAGGGGTTTTGTGTATGACACACCATAATCTCCAGACTAATTGGTGAGTGGTATTAAGATAAATTCTCCTTCAATGTGTATGTATTTATTTTTTAAATTTAATATACAGTCCACATATTTATATTAATGTTTTACCAGAATTCCTGGTGATGTATATTTCATTTGAAATTAATATAGGTCCAGAGTGACTTGTAGAGATATAGATTGTAGTAGGTATCGAAAGAGGCCATTTTTTTCGACCTAGGTGTCTTAAAATTCCTACTTGTCTCTGTAACCTTGATAAAGAATAATTATCTTTGTTACCATTTATTGGTTTGTATGTAATGAGATTCATCCAAGTAAATTTAGTTTTCCACAAGTATCACACCTCACTCTAAGCCTATATATACCCTATGTGTCCATGTATTGTTTGTAACGGCTTGACAAAGCTCCTGGAGAGCGAAACGTTGCCACAATAAAATGTCACATTAGTTGCAGTTGTGTCCTTTTACTTTACATATCGTCGGTAATTCTACCAACATATATACAATTAACAAGAAGGAAATCGAGGAAAAATAATTTTTACCCCCCTGTTCAAGAACCTCCTAAATCCTTTTCATAAATTACGAGTTAAGAACCATCTGGCGTATGACAAAATATCGTATAATTAATGGTTCGTTCTGTATACTTGTGTCTGTTTCCACATTAGGCTTTAACACCTACAGCATATAGAATACCATACACTGATGTGATGTACCTGTTATTTTTGACAATATAGATCTTTATTATTCTTCTAAGACTTGCTCTGTTTACCTGGTCTCTAAAAACACCTTGCAATCATCAGAAAATTTTGAAAGTAATTAAACTTACATCAAGTTTTTGGACGTGGACGAAAAGTGTTAAGTAGCCAATGACCATGAGTATGATGGAGGGTAAATAGATGTTCAACACGATCAGTGTCGACTGCCGCTGCAAGGTGTAGCCTATCTGTGAAGAGAAGAGCTGGTCATATATGGTGCTTAAAACTATTTTTGATTGTTATGGGTTTATGCATTATATTAAAGAGATTTTAGATAGTACCTTTACAATACCTATGTACTGTTTAATGTGGACGAGATCATCTTATTCACTGCCCAATCATAGCTCACACTTCTTGATCAAATTTAGAACTAATAATAAACCTCAGTTTATTAAATTACTTTAAAGCATTACGAGTCTCAAAATGGCATAAAAAATTACATGCCAATGAATGCTGGATGAAACTTCGGAAGCATATTTTTTTCTGACTTTGATGGATCAGCATCCCCGAGCGATATCTCGAAAAAAAAGACCGTATGTCATTAAAAGTTGGTACATGCGATCCATTATTTGCAAACAATTTGTTGGAAGTCTGTGCATTAGGGACTGTAGCAAGTGGCAACAGTCGTAACGTTTCTGTCTCGGAAATAAGTCAGATTGGGAAGTGGTCACGAACTGCGTTCCACAGAAGTAAAGACTGTAGTGGGAATTATTGAGCACTTGAAAAATTCTACTCACTTTCAGAACCTTCAGAGGGAAGTGACAAACACCAGGTCCCTCCCTCTGGTGCTTTCCTCGACATTACCCCTCAATATAAACAGAGATAAATGTTAAATATATTTAATAAGATATCTCCGAAGGAATACCATTAAGTTGTTGCCTGATATTTTATCCTCCAACTTTTCGTTTTTATTTTTCTCGCAACGAGAAGACCTGGTCCAATAGGCTTCAAAACTTCACTATGGTAAGATTCTTAGAACAATGGACAAGTGCAGGTGTTCTATGATCACAGTTGTTGAAGCCAATCCCAGAGAGTGGAATTCAAGCGTGTTGGAGAGGATTTGACTATTTGACTTGAATTTTTATTTCAGCCAAATGACGTTAAATAAATTTCAGTTTACTTCTGTACTGCTTCATTATTTAATGGCTGATGATCTTACTTCCAGGATATTAAAAATTAATTACAGGCAAGCTTGTTAATTTAGTAAGAGTTAAATTGAAATTCTAGGAATCCGTGCCAAAACTGGAGAATGACTCATCTGATCGGCTTCAAATTTTCACCATTTCTGTGGTTTCTTGAACGCAACGGTCTTGTTTTCATTGGGTGGCATAAAACCCAATTTAAAAATTTTGTTAATTGAACAGTGATATTTACATTCAGTAAACTGGGTATAGTTGAAATCAGATTAATTACAAGAGAATGTCTTTTCTGATAGGCTTCAAACTTCACCGTCGGTAGGCTTTATTAAAAGTAAGTTTGGCGTTCGCTTTTAGCTACAGAAATTTCGAATCAGACACCTTTGTAACTAATGTTTTAAAAGTATCTAATTCTTCAATTTGTAGGTTTTCTAAACCATTCATGTCATACATAAATTTCAATTTGCCATTTTTATTAAATAAACTGTTTCCCTATACAGTAACTAGATTATTATACAAGTAGATGATTATAGATGCATTATATAAGTAGATTATTATATATTAAATAAAAGGCATTCTCTACTTACGCAGTAAGTAGACAATGTCTCGTCTCATCACATTTAAATCCTAAACTTTGGTGTATCTTTTGTGTTAATATTTTTGTACTAATTTTGGGGTTTGGATACAAATCTGCTTTTTTTTTTTTTAATTTTCAAGTTGAATTTTCATAAAAGAAATACAAATAATTTTTTTTCTTACAGGATTGTAGAGGATTTGAAATAGAATATAAGCGAGGAAAAAAATTGGATTTTTAAATTTAACCAAGAAAACTCTCCTTTATGGAACATTTCTCATTATTATTTTTCGTTTTTTTTCCTCCAAAATTTCGTTTATAACTCAAGAAAGCCACACACAGATTTTGTTTCCGTGTGATACCTGGAGAAAACGTACTCAGATCGGCTTCAATTATCATTATAATCGAAAAAGAAGCGCTAAACCACAAGGGTAGCAAGAGAGAGAGAGAGAGAGAGAGAGAGAGAGAGAGAGAGATGATTATTAGGTTATGGAGCACAGCGGGGCAGTGGATAGTGCAGGGGTAGAGGATAGCAAGAGATTGAGGTAGAAAGGACTGAGGGGAGTGGTAAAGGTATCTTCATCAGTGTTTGTGGAGTAAATCATTTGCTGTCAAAAAGTCAATGAGAGAGTCCGGATTAAAGGAGAGTCCATCAGCAAGAAGGGAAGGTAAAGAGACAGCAGCAGAGCAGCAACGTCGTTGGAGCTAAACTCTGTGTGCTCGTTGATAGAGTGGGCAGTCCAACAGAATGTGGCTAACAGATACTGCAACCTGACAATTCTCACAGAGAGGAACAGGGCGCCTCTCCATGAGATACCAGTGAGTAAGACGAGTGTGGCCGATGCGAAGAAGGAAGAGAGTAGTCTCCCAACCTCGACATTGATGACAAGAAGACGGCCACTAACCTATACTCGGTTTAATAGGATGAAGTTTGTTATAGAGCAGATCAGACCAACGTTGTTGCCAACGGGTGCGAAGGTGGGTAGCAATTACAACAAAATAGTCCGTGAATGGAACACCTCTATGTGAAACTGGGAGGTCATGTACTGCTGACCGCGCAGCAGTGTCTGCCTGTACGTCAACATGACCAGGGACTCAAAAAAAACAATGTCTTTATGCTTGGTAGAGATACGGCGTAACCAAAGTTGGATACGAAGAACCAGGGGGTGAGGTGTATCAAATTTACGTATAGCCTGTAAAGTACTAAGGATTTTTAGATAATGGAGGTCGAAATTAAACTATATACGTTTTATTACAAGCTACATTTGATATATTAAATAATAATAAAATAATAATATCTTTGCTTCTACAAGTACATGTACAAGGTATACAGTCCTAGCTGACATCACTGACATACTACATGTATATAGAAATCTGCTTGTTATGCTGAGCATTTCGGGCAAATTAGGTCAGTTTTGTCCCAGGATGCGACTCTCACCCCTCGTCTAACACCCAGGTACCCATTTTACTGATGGGGAATATAGACAATCGGTGTAAGGAAACACGCCCAATGTTTCTACCCTCGCCGGGAATCGAACCCGGACAATCACATGTGAAGCGAGAACTTTAGCCACCAGGTCACAGAGCCACGAATCAGTGACTACCAGATTTCCCAATGAGCTGGGGAGGCTGAAGCCTAGGGCCTAAAAATTTAGGCCTCCGGTCAAGGTGTATAATGCTTTTGACACTGTCATATGGCCTTACACATGTTGTCATAGCGCACTGTAGTCTCTAAACAACGCTTCAGTAATACTGTCTTAATCCAATAACTCACCACTAGCATTGATTTCTGTATTGATTTTGTCCTTCCAGGAAAGCTGTGAAGTAGATAAGCTGACTGAGGCCTCAGTCATTTGTACTCTGATGTTAATTACAAAGGTGATACCAGGTGATACCAGGTGATACCAGGTGATACCAGGCTCCAAACTAACAATCTTTTGCAGAAAATGGAAGGACTGGAATTTGTGTTTATGATGCATTTTGGACCCTTCTAATCAACAAGGTGAGCAAAGCCATTCAGAAATCAGAATTGCTACTGAGTATTTGTGCATATTTGTACAGTTCACTTCAGGATATTGAAGCATAGTTAGTGATGATTTTGAGGAGCTCGAGCAACATGAATAAGACACTTCTCGAGAACTGTCACAAGGAGACAAAGAGAAGGAAATGAGGGAAGGGCACCTGGTCTTGATACCTTAGATGAACTCTCTTCAAGAGATCAGTTTAGGATAAAGTCCTTTATTTCTATACTAATCTGTACTTGAAGCCAATTTAAGAAGAAGAGCTGTGTACTGTGATGTTGCAAAACATTCAGGAAGGTGTTGAACCGATGATGCTAACCTGAAACTCACTGATGAACTTTTGCACTTTAACTTGTGAGACAAAGCCATAAGCCTACAGAAGAGCAGTCACTGTCTCATACAGACCTTTATCAAATTATGTACAATGAATAATTCAGACGGCTTTCCCTAATGTGGAATCAATCTTGCTGCTATTTAACTTAATGGTCACTAATTGCTCGGGAGGTCTTTTTTCTAGTCTCAAAAGAATTAAAAATAAATTGAGGTCCACAATATCTCAAGAGAGGTTGTCCGCACTGACCTTCTGTGCATTGAAAGTGACAAACTTAGACAGGCAAACTTTGATGAACTTTTGGATGATTTTGCTATGAGGAAGGCTAAAGAATAATCTTGCTGTTTTACTTATGTCATAATTGATGGAGGTCTTTTTTAGTTAAATGTTTAAATATTAAAATATTAACAGTGTCCTACATGACCTTGCATTTGCCTTAAACAATCTTTGATGAAGGATGTTGTGAGGAGGCTAAAAGTGTTTAGTCTTAGTGATGGTGAGGCTTTTGTTATGTGGGTGACCTAAAACATTGCTAATAATTCCTGCTTATGAGGGATTGTGAGGGGCCTCACAAGTGGAATAGTCTAGTGATGGTGAGGGATTGTGAGGGGCCTCACAAGTGGAATAGTCTAGTGATGGTGAGGGATTGTGAGGGGCCTCACAAGTGGAATAGTCTAGTGATGGTGAGGGATTGTCAGGGGCCTCACAAGTGGAATAGTCTAGTGGTGATGGTGAGGGATTGTGAGGGGCCTCACAAGTGGAATAGTCTAGGGTCTCTCATCATCTAAATCTGGCACTGCTGACAAACAAGAACTATCCACTTGAAAAACAGGAATATAATTTTTCGTGATTTTCACTGAAATTTGTAAAAACGCCTTTTTTTTTTTAATAATTTTGACTTAATAAAATGTAGACAAAGGTGGCTGCCAAACCATGAGCCAAGAAGAACTGTTAAAAATTTGTAAGAATCGTTTTTTATTATCTTTGTGAAAAGATTTATTTAGTATTTATAATTAAAGTTTATTAATGCAAAATAATAATAGTAACAAGACTGGAAACAAATCACAGAACGGGTGGGGTTTTAAGATTTATGTATCCTTGGTTCGACCCTCACCCGATGGTCTTATCTGAATAACTAAAGAGGGTTTTTAACTGAACCTGGAATATTCAGATCTCTTTTACATGTGTTCCAAGTGTCTGTTCAAGTAATTATATACTTTCGTATAGAGGAATGTAAAGTTGTTAAAAGAGGCACCACAATGACGGAACCTCGCTAATCAGTGCAAAATAATGTAAATTGGGCATAAAAAAGATACATGTTAAATAAAATAAACAAAGATTCCTGGAAGGAACACTGGAAGCTAAATAGACAGTGTATTGAGGCAATAAAATGATGTTCTCACATATAGGGCGACTATATCTCACTAGCAACATCACAAAGCACAAACCTTGAAAAGACTTTCAGGAGATTTGCTCTTCTGTTTCAGGGTTACGAAATCTTGGATGATATATGTGCCAAATTTTGAGCTCTTGTCAAAGTGTACAGTTGTTTTCTCTGTAGTGAATGTAACAAGTTCCTCATTGACAGAGGAGAGCTGCACCAGAACACTACATTGTTGCACATCAAATGGGTAGTAGAAAACGTTAAAATCACAGACGAAGCTGCCGCTGTAGTGTTCCCGCTGAATAATCACAGCTGAGGCTCCCATGTACGTTACATCTGTTGGCAAATATATCTTTTTCTTCCTCTTGAGTTTAGCATACACACTTTTAAAGTATTTCATATGTTGTATAACAAATTAAAGATGTAAGAGGAAAACAAAAATCAAGAAGTGTAAGCAACAGAAGTCCAGAGGTTATACTACAGCTTTATACATCATTAGTAAGGCCTCACCTAGATTACGCAGCTCAGTTCTGGTCTCCATATTACAAAATGAATATAAATTCGTTAGAAAACATTCAACGAAGAATGACAAAATTAAGTCATAGCATTAGAAATCTTTCTATGTGCTTCCATGTATGTGCATATATTATATAAAATATATATATATAAAATTATATATATTATAAAATATTAATATATATATATATATATATATATATTTGGGTGTATGTGCGTGGGCATGGCAAGTATGAATATGCATTTCTACATATACATGAGTGTACATATTCAAGTGTATATGTGCGCGTATGTGTGTAGATATTTATTTTTTTATAAGCTAAGGTGGGTTTGAAAGGTTAGTTGGGAACAATTAGAGTTAATGCTGTGACCAAATAACTTCATAATCAACACATTATAATACACAAATAACCTCGCATAGTGAAAAGCAACTTATGACGATATTTTAGTCCGACTTAGAACATTAACTAGACGCACACCAAACAGTAACTTTAATTAGTCACACTGTAAATAATAACTAAAACATAAATACTTAATTACTTACCCATATTTACAGCATTGAAGTTACTGGTGAGAGAGTCATTATTTTTCTGAATGTAAAAAATTTCTTCTAACTTTTGTAGTTTCCCGTCTTTCACGTTCGGAAACTTCAATTTTGGCTTCCATATGCTCTCAGTCTCAATTTTGGACAATTTATTAGCATGTATATCCTCTCGAAGGTTAGTATATGTCAGCCTAGAATCTCTCCACTCTATGTTAACAATAAACTCAAGGTTAATAGTTTCTTCAACATCTTCAATTTTAAGAAAACGCAAAAAATTAAATATTAAGTTAGGCTGGAGAGGCTTTGATGGGTCACCAACATTCTTAGGAGGTTTGAAGCTGCGGTAACCTGCGGGCACTTGGAGAAGGGAACAATTGTCTTCATCTGTCTCGTCGTTACAGTCACTCTTGGCGTCACAACGGGCGGCTAGGTCGATACATTCACCATTGTCACACATATACTGATGACTTTGACATATAGACAAGCTTAGTTCAATTATGTTTCCCACTGCTTGTTCACATATGGGATATAGCAGCGTCCATTTGTGTCTGCCAAGTGGGTAAACAGTGTCAGACGCTACATTCAAGTAAGCTAAAGATTCGTTTTCCACAGTATTAATTAAAAGACCATTGCTTATCTTTTGGTTGTATTATCATTAACCCATAAAATCCATGAAAAAATGGCTTGCTTAAGAAATATCCAAGCACTTCAAACATAATTTCAGTCAATCTTTCCTTGCAAATACCTCGAAGAAATAGCGGAGATGTTGCTTGATCCTGACAGAGTGCGCAAGCTTTGTATGTCTTACAACTGTAATCATTCCATAAAGAATCTCTTCCGTCAACCAAAACACAGTTTTCAAATGTTGCATTGTCAGGTTGTCCAAGTGCCCAAAATACATCTGTGACAATTTTCTTGTCACTCAATCTTCTCCAGACTCCTTCCTCCTCTTCATCTGTTATGCCAACCCAAAGGTGAACTGTCGCACATATGTTCTCTTCCCAAAGCGTTTTATTTACTTTTTCGCTTATGTGTTTGCTCGGTGGAGCATACAGAACAGATCCAATTAAATTGCACATAATTATTGACTCGGCAAATGTACGTCCTTCTGGTATAACTAAAAAGTCTTCGTTTTGGAGACAAACATTTTGTAGGGACCATAAAGTAAAGTTCACATTGATAAGGTCAAAATTGTCTCTGTCACTTGAAAAAATATTTCCCTTTATATTTTCCTTGCAAGAAGCTGCTATTTCTATGTCTGTTTTGGAGAGTCCATAGCTCCAGAAATTTATTTGAGTTGCATATCCTTTAAAAATTTGCTCATGTTGAAATCGTCTTGAAATTCCGTCCTGTTCCTGTCCAATGACGAAGGTACCATTAAGTGGGATGACTCTGTCTTCTACCTCGATGGGGCCACTGGCCATTGCAACGCCATCCACATATACAGTATACGTGTCCCCCGAAAAAACGTGGCAGAGGTGTCGCCACTGACGTAGGTAAGTCGGTAGTTTGAGGTTCTGTATGACTGGCTGAGGTTTATTGTTGTATCGAAAGAAGTGTGAACCATCAATGACATCTGGAAGGATGAAAATTAAGTTTATTGACATTCAGCTAGTGCTAATGTTTATTGTCATTCAGCTAATGTTTGTTCAGCCTTGAATGAGAGCATATAAAATACTTACACATCATGATAGCATTAGAGAAATCTTCAGCCGTAGCGTAAGAAAGAAGAATTTGCAACGTAGTTAAAGCTGTGGTAAAATATCTGGAGCAAACCGTAAAGTTTGTGACACTGGTGGCCACCTGCTGGTTGCTCATGTTGAATCTTGTATAAACATCGTCTTTCGGTGGGATCCAAATGTCCGGCTGTAACATGAATACCCGAACATCTTCTCCTGAAAGTGAACAGGTGACTTACTTCAACACCATCAAAACTCCTGAGAGTAAACACCCTCCTCTCCTGAAAGTGAACAACCCAGTTTAATATTACCAGTGGTTTAGTCAGGTATCTTTCACGAGCAACCAAGGCGTCAAGGATAAGTACTACAGGACTGTGTGATCATAACGCACACAAGTGAATATACCAAGTACAAGTGAGCATATTAAATACGAATAACCGATGGTCTTGAATTTTGTTATTGCAGGAAATGCATTATTGTCTACGTGTTATGTAAATACATGTGTATTCAGAAGTATTAAGAACACATCAAGTATGATCACAGGTCACAGACAAATGTGAAATTCAGAGATTACAGAGAATCTATCAGAAATCGTCACTAGGAAATGAATCAAGTGATAGTAATAATGATACTTCTGGTACAGCTGTAGGAGTTTTCGAAAGGAATGGAGGGAATTAATCCTAACTTATACTTTATTTTTTTCAAACTCTGATGCCCAAGCCTAACTTGAGCTCAGTTATGATCAACTAGAAATAACTTGCGTAATCGAAATATAAGTAGCGTAATCAAAATATAACTCGCGTAATCGAAATAATTCGATTGTAAACAACTTGTTTAACGACACAGCCGTAAAGGGCTGATATTATTCTGAAAAACTGGCATTTCTAGTTACAGTGAGGCCGATATTAATCACCTAGCATATATAGAAATATATCCAGTTAGCAGAACCTTTCTAGGCTGGCATAATACAGCTGATAATACAACAGACTCCTAGTTTTAGAACAGGCTTGCCATGGGTTCCAACTCCCATTCAGTGAGATATTTAATGATAATTACCAGATATTAAATCATATACAAGAGGGGTCAATGAATAATGACCAAGCCATAATGTAGCATTTCAAATAGCTGCATTAGGATACAGATACAAGATTGGTGTTTAAACTAAGAGAGGTATGGAAAAATTCTAACATCTCAAGTGTTACTTCGCAAACCTTTTACAGCTGAAGGTCAATGCGTTCAAAGGAAAGACATAATGTCAAATTCGAACATTTTTGCCTTCAGTCTCTTGATCGATGTTTATAGGAGTTATAAACTTACTGATTTCCACTAATTATGAGCTCGCTGCTGTTTCTGACTCTAAGTTAGAAAAAAAAAAGATATTTTCTGTTACTTGTTCATGTTGCTTTGAAATCCCATGGCGATACTGTGGCAACTCCAGTACTCAAAAGTTCCTCTTGTATTGGAGGAGATATACCAGCTAATATATTCAGCCAAACAAAAGTGTTCTCAGCGTACCAGTCGAGAAGGCTTGGATCGAACCAGTTATAGTGAACAGTGTTGCATCAAAGTGGCAATATCAACTGACCTTATTTTTTACTTGCTGCCGTATATCTGCGAATAATTTTTTCTTCAGCACACGATCTGGATACACTGAGCACAGCTGTGAATATATATATACCAATATCTGCTCCTGGGTACTGAACACACAGTCATCACTGTATTTAATGATAGATCTTCAAACAAGCCAATTTACGGGAATCCGTCCTGACTGACTCTTGAAAAAGCAGACAAGAGGAAAGTCTTGCATTCTACCCAGTGTCGATTCACCACAGATATTACCTGAAGTTTACCTGGAGAGGGTTTCGGGGGTTAACGCCCCCGAGGCCCGGTCTGAGACCAGGCCTCATGGTGGATCAGGGTCTCCTCAAGCAGGCTGTTACTGCTGGCTGCACGCAAACTGACGCGCGAACCACAGCCCGGTTGGTCAGGTACTGACTTTAGGTGCCTGTCCAGTGCCTTCTTAAAGACAGTAAGTGGTCTACTGGTAATCCCCCTTATGTATGCTGGGAGGCAATTGAACAGTCTTGGGCCACGGACACTTACTGTGTTCTCTCGCAATGTACACGTGGCGCCCCTGCTTTTCATCGGGGAAATGTTACATCTCCTGCAGATATAGTGTTGTTCAGACATGCAGTGCCTCACTTCCCACATGTACGCAGGGAGAAAACCTCTAGATGATCCCAGGAAAAATGTAGGTACATCCCAGTTCATAGAGAATTTATTGAAATATCCCAAGAGGACCAGATGAACATTACTAGTTATACAGACACTGACCGGATGTAGCTTTACCTCCTGTATATCTAAACACAGTAAACAGACATTATGGAAAGTTTTTTTTTTACACTATTTTTTATTGGTCTTGGATTTGATTTGATACTGGAGACCACGTCAGCATCAAAATTTGTATGGAGGATGTATATGTAACGGACTAATTATATCTACGCAGGCACACGCTATAATTAAATACAGTGAAACAAGAAGGTTTGCCCCTTCCATACAGGAGATGCAATATATTATCGCTTGTTGCATTCATCCTTGGATGAATGCAACAAATATCTGCACCAGAAAATATAGGATGGAAGTGGAGTGAATCAGACTTGGAACCGATTATGCTATTTAGACCAGCTCCAAAACGCTGTCTTCAGTTCCCTCCAGTCCATCTTAATTAAAAGCTCTGCAGATCTCTCGTCTGTAAATGAAGCGAGGCTAAGTTGGCAGTTACATCCTTATGTACTTATGATCGGAATATCAGCATTATTATATTGTATAAAATGTAATATAAATTATGATCAATATCATTTCACGGACCTGCCTCACATGGACCAGTAGGCCTGCTGCAGTGTTCCTTCATCCTTATGGTCTTATTACAGTATTCATTTTTAGTGGTGTTAATGAAAATGAACTGGGCCCCGTGGCCTGGTGGCTATAGCTCTCGGTTCACACGGCGAGGGTCCGGGTTCGATTCCCGGCGAGGGTAGAAACATTGGGAGTGTTTCTTTACACCGGTTATGTTCCTCATCAGCAAAATGGGTACCTTGGTGTTAGTCGACTGGTGTGGGTCGCAACCTGAGACAAAACTGACCTAAAATTTTTTCAGTATTGTCAGTAATGTCTTTCTTATTCTTTAATTTTAAATTGCAAATTGTTACAATAAAAAAACTATTTTTTTTCCTAATTTTGATGGAATAAAACTCAAAATTCAGCTTGGAATATACCATTTTTTAATCAGCATACTCAAATTACGGTAAAAAGTCCAGTTTCTAACCATTATTTCCAAAAAGCTTCAAGCAATATGATTTTTCAGTAATGTAACCAGACTATTATGCAAGAACTGAACCTATGCTACAACAGGTTAGGTAAGATGTCATGTTAGGATTTACGTTTGGCGAGATATTTGCTATATAAAATTCGTTTGGTGTTTTACATTTCTGTGACCAACTGAGACGCATTTGTGTTTAATTTCTTAATGTGGTGTTATTATCATTACAGGAATAATGTAATGTTATTTTGTATTTACCCACAAGGATTATCGAAATTTTTGAGTACTTGTAATTTTTTCTGATGTTTTGATCATGGAAACAACAGACATCGTTAATCAAGAGTCATATACATTTGCTGTCTTCACTGGCGTACAGTAGGTAAGCCAAATTCGTCCACTGTAGGCACATTACCAAGACGAGGCGAGCGGCTTCTCTCTTATAGACACTGCTGGCCAACTAGGTATATCACAGAATATCGGGACACCGAGCAAACATGATTAACCGGATGGGAGGAAGATAACCTTCAAGATAGAGCCAAATATCAGAAGGCTCAATTCTATCGCCCAACAGAAGGGACTTTCATTAAAGCTACTCAGCCTATGGGACACCTCAGCAATGACTTTGCATAAAGAAATTGTTCGACCCTTTCACAAGATGAATCAGCCATTCAAAAAATGAAGCCCTGAACGAGCAGTGGTCATATATTGTCTAATGAAAGGGAGACATTCACACTTGTTCCTAAAATGGGGAGGGTAATTCCAGTTCCTTGGATCAATGAGAAATAACACTACACTATTTCTATATTAAAAATGGCAAAATCGCACCTACAAGACTCCATTAACAATTTCAGCCTTCTTCGAAATAGGATATACCAGTGTTGAAATTTCACAGCCGAGCAGATGAGGGTTTCTTCTGGTATCACACCGAAATAACATCTGGGAATAGTCTAGGTAACACTGACCATGGAACATCCTATATAACATCTGGGAATAGTCTAGGTAACACTGACCATGGAACATCCTATATAACATCTGGGAATAGTCTAGGTAACACTGACCATGGAACATCCTATATAACAAATAGTCACATAACTCTTGCCTTAAATGCTATAAACTGTCTTTGAAAATTTGAAGCTGATGGAATAAAGTGTTCTCGAATTATATATAGTATATATAAAAAAAAGAAAAATGTTACTTATAAAGTTCCGAAAAAAGTCGATCAGAAAAAGTATTCTTAAGCTATTGAATAAATAGTTATATTTAGATAAATTCAATATCTTTAGAATACTTTTTCTGATCGACATTTTCGGAACTCTATAAGTAACATTGAGACTTATGCCACCTAACATGACAATTTTTGCGTTCAGGAAACCACAACAGTTGTGTCAATTAGAAGACGATCAGATATGGATTAGGCTAATTAATCTGCGCTTGTTACAAGGTTAGGTAAGTTTCCTAAGGTCCTTTTGGTAGAAAATCATTAATTTTTATATTAACACATTAAAAAATAAGTCTTTAAATGTATAGGAGAAAATTTTAGAAAGGACTTAATTTTGAACGAGTTCTTTCTAACTGACCAGTTTTATCTATTCGGCAAGACATACATATTATATATATATATATATATATATATATATATATATATATATATATATATATATATATATATATATATATATATATATATACATACGCAATAAGATCACAATAAACAGGTGATATCAGAATATGCAAAACAACCACTGTGAAAGAATAGTGAAATTCCAAGTGCTTTCGTTACTTCTCACATTATCAACGAAAGCGCTTGGAATTTCAATATTCTTTCACAGTGGTTATTTTGCATATTCTGGTATCACCTGATAACTGTGATCTTATTGCATATATATATATATATATATATATATATATATATATATATATAT